AAAATACCGAAGGCCGACCGGCAGGTACTTGGAACGTGGAACATCTAAGGAAATTTTATCAGTAGAAACGACTGTTGCCACCTCTAAAAAAAATGTATAGAGAGGGAGACATAACTTCCACATAAACACAGCCCATGATTAACACGATCATTCTGGATGACCGAATGAGGAATGGGTTAACAACATGGAAGGAAAATCAATTCTCAGCTAAGGGAGTTTTTGACCCTAGATTTATGAAGGAATAAAGGGATAAAAAACGGCTTGAAGAATTGAGGCTCAGAAAATCGATGCCCGTGGTTAACACGATCATTCCGGATGACCGAATGACGAATGCGTTAACAGCGTGGAAGGAAAGTCATTCTCAGCCAACGGCTTGAAGTTTGACACTCATATAGTCTCACCTCAGCGGTTAATATGAGAATCATTCTGGAGAACCGAATGATGAACATATTAGCAGTTTGGAGGGAACCATTATTTCAGCAAGAGTTTTGACCCTATAATTACGCATTGATGAAGGGATCAAAATGGCTTGGAGTTCGAGGACAGTGATTCTCACCTCAGCTTGTTAACGCGTGGAATCATTCTGGATGACCGAATGACGAACGGGTTAACAGTTTGGAGGGGGCTGAGTCGTCAACTTAGCCAAAGTCGACCCTGTAATTACGTACGGGCAAAGGGATCAAAACGGCTTAGAGATGGTGTCAAGACTGTAAGATATGGATTAATCGAGCGACGTTCGGATAAGGTACGGATTGTCGCCCGGAGAATCGGAACTATGGTTTTGAAAAAGCTCACCTCAGTCATGAACTTGATTCGGAAGCGAGTCGCCCTTTTAGCTATAAGTAAGGAATGACCCAAATTCGGTGATCTTGCTTGCAGTTCGAAAAGGGTTACCTCAGACCCCTAATATGGATGATACGAGCCAGAGAGAATAGTTCGGAATGCATCGGAATTATGGGTTTGGAAGGGAGATAGTCTCACCTCAGCTTGTTAACGTGTGGAATCATTCTGGACGACCGAATGACGAACGAGTAACAGTTTGGAGGGAGCCCCTGTCCCAGCTAAAAGTTTGACCATGTGGTCACAATCAAAACGGCTTGGAGGAATTCACCTCAGCTAAGAGTTTTGAACCCGTGCGTCACGAACAGAAAAGGGATCAAAACGGGCTCGGGAAAGGTGTCAGAACAATTGTGAAGAGATAGCCTCACCTCAGCTTGTTAACACATGGGATCATTCCGGATGACCGAATGACAAACGGGTTAACAGTTTGGAGGGAGCCCCTGTCCCAGCTGAGAGTTTGTCCCTGTGGTCACGATCAAGACGGCTTGGAGGAATTCACCTCAGCTAAGAGTTTTGAACCCGTGCGTCACGAACGGAAAAGGGATCAAAACGGGCTCGGGAAAGGTGTCAGACATAAAGATACATGAGTCAAGTGATGTTTGGCCAGATAGAAAGGTTTGTGAACAAAAAATCAAAGGAAAAATAGAAAAAAGACAACAACAGATAAAGAGAGAAGTTTAGTTTATTCTTCGGCATTACTAGCCGGAATATACAAGAAGAACAAAGGACAAAAAAGCAAAAATTACAAAGTCTATGCTATTGAAGGATTGCCGTTCGGGGAAAGTGAAGGTTGAGAGCTCCCTTCCTGCACTGCATCACCAGGCGCTGCTTTGGACCTCTTCTCCATGATACGGTCATATGTATTCCCGAACAGGTCGTCAAAGCCTAATTCGTCAGGATCGAACGGCTTGGGGAAATGCTCTAGGATCAAGTCAAGATTCCTATCCAGAAGCAGGTCCTGACTTTGCTTCACAGTTTTCTCGGTCAGGTCATCCAAGAAAGATTTCCCTTCCGGGGTGCTGTCCAAGAGATCGATCCCTGCCTTGATGGGATCTTCGCTTTCACGAAAGAATTGGCCAAGGTGAGGACCCAGGAACTGTCGGGCCGTGTTCTCCAGAGCGACGTTCAGCCCCTTGCCCCGTTGAAAATCCACTATCGATTGATGAGCAATATGGGAAGTGTTGACCGTGTAAGGTTCGGGCAGATGGTCGCCAACAGCTTTATCAAATTTAATCCCAGCAGATTCAGCAGCTCGCACCTTGGCCCGGAGTTCTTTAATCTCCCGGTCGCGACGACGGGATTTCTCCTGCATCTCAGCCAGAGCAGCTTTTGCCTTCTCACCCTCCTTTGCCTGCTCTTGGAGATCGGCCGCTAACTTCCGAGCGGCAGAAAGAAGGACCTGGCTGTCATCCCGATCGCTGGCCAGGGCCTTCATTTCCTTCTCGGCTGCAAGAAAGGCCTTGTGATAGTATACACCGGCCTGAAAACGAGATTACAATAAAAGTCAGATAAGGTAAAACATGAAGAATAGAAAGGCATGGATCGGAATGAGGTGTACCTTGAGTGCTTCCTGGTGACCTGCTTCGAAAAGATCCGACCAGTGGGTCAGGTTCGTGAAGCTCGGGGGAACCTTGATTGTAGTGTGACACCACATAGAAGATGGCATCAACCCGAACAGATACCTCCCTTCTGATCTGGGCCCCATGTTTGAAAATTCGACAAACATCCGATCATCGATCGGTGCGTCAGAAAGAGCCAGAGTTGATGTTTTGGCAGGCGTCGATCTTTTGGGTTCAGTGTAATACTTGAGATTTAATTTAAACGGATTAATAGTACTACTCATACCAACAAGATGCATCTCCTTTTAAGGTATCTCATTAGCCAAAACGTCCAAAGTTAAGCGTGCTTGCACGGGAGTAGTCTTGGGATGGGTGACCCCCTGGGAAGTTTCTCAGGGCGCGCACGAGTGAGGACAAAGTGCGCGGAAAAGGCTAGTGGCGGTTTGGGAGGACAGTACTAGAGGTCCGGAGTAATTACCTCGGGTCCTGCGGGACTGGGGTGTTACAGGTGGTATCAGAGCCAGGTTACGACGGTGTGCTGATCCGTTGGATATCGGGCGGGCACTTAGTAGGGGAAAAGATTCTGGGATATGATTGAGATTGGTGTTTGGGCGCAACGAGGACGTTGCGTTCCTAAGTGGAGGTGATTGTAATACTTGAGATTTAATTTAAACGGATTAATAGTACTACTCATACCAACAAAATGCATCTCCTTTTAAGGGATCTCATTAGCCAAGAACTCCAAAGTTAAGCGTGCTTGCACGGGAGTAGTCTTGGGATGGGTGACCCCCTGGGAAGTTTCTCAGGGCGCGCACGAGTGAGGACAAAGTGCGCGGAAAACGCTAGTGGCAGTTTGGGAGGACAGTACTAGAGGTCAGAAGTAACTACTTCGGGGCTTACGGGGCCGAAGTGTTACATTCAGCCTCCGGCCCGGTCAAGTCAACCACATGATCGATCGGGATCAATTGACTGCCATTGTTCCCCTTGCGTTTCCTCCGGTGTTGCTCCTCAGAGGCATGGTCGGCCACCATTTTCTCTTTGCCTTTACCAGAAGAAGCCGTCAGGGGTAGCAGAAGAGATAGAACGTCGGACGGGTATGAGGGATATCACACCTGCAAAAAAGAGGAATAAGAGATAAGAAGCTGAATTGTGTGAATGAAGGATGATCGGGTTAAAACCCTACTACGCTTACCAATTCCAGCAGATAACATGCTTGAAGTAGTGACAAAACTCCGGAGACTTCTGGTTCCTCCCATTCGCAAAGACTCAGCTTGAGAGCGTAGAACGGCGTCCACCCTGGGATGAGAATCCCGAACGGGATAGGCGTTTCACCTATCCGGAAATGGCAGAGAATCGCCTACCCGAACAAACAAGAAACGCTCCTCCCAGTCAGCCGGCGGAGTGAGATTCTCTGTTAATAGCTGACGATCAGAACGAGCTACCAGCTTCAGGTACCCGGTCGTCCAGTAAGGCTGATAGCAGTAATGGTGAAGGAACAGGTCGACGCTTGGAGTGATCCTCAACTCATGGCATCGAATAATGAAGCCTGTCAGAATGCGGTAAGTGCTGGGCACGAACTGAGCGGGTAGTACAGAAACCCGGCGTAAGAACTCCACAATGAATGAATGGAGAGGGAAGCGAAGCCCAGCAGTCAGAGCATCGAGGTGCACTAGCACGTGCCCCGGTCGGTGCCTCATCAGGTGCCGGATGAATCCAGCATAGTATTCCCTCGGTGGGGGCAATAACTGGCTAAGTTGTCGTTCGATATCTTCTGGGAGGCGTTGTTTTTGTTTGCGGATACGAGTGAAGTGTAGGGGAATGCGGGGTGGACGTTCGGGCATCCCCTTGTTATACACCTGGACATCATCACCTGACAGACATCCATCATCTTGTGGTTGTTCGGTGTGTTTGTCTGCCTGGGGATTGGCGGTTTTAGGTATTTGGGAAGAAGAGCCTTTGGCTTTGTTACCAGCGGATGTTTTACTTGTGCGAATCAACGGCATCTCTTCAGATTCTGAGCTGGAGGGGTAATACATAAAAACACTAGAGAAACTCTGGGAATTCTAGAGAGAGAAGGCTTGAAAGTACGCAAGAGAATTCTGGGAATTCTAGAGAGAGAAAGCTCGAAAGAAAAATGAGAAAACAACAGGAGAAATTAGGGTAAGCACCTCTCTATAAATAGGGAAAGTGCCGCACAAATCCCTAATCCATGAGCAACACGTGGCATTAAGTGGTTACGATTAATCTGGGGCATTTATGGTTCATTTTTGTGCACGTACCCCGAACGGGCTTGCAGAGGATTAACAAAGATCACAGGGACTTGCTGGTTAGAAAAACCAAGAAAACGGCTAAGTCCTAAGAATTGATCTGAAGCCCGACCGGCTATCAACATTGAAAAAGATTATCTGAAGCCCGAACAGCTACCAATTTACGAAGAAGCCCGGGTGCGAAGAAAACCAAGAAAACAGCTAAGTCCTAAGAACTGATCTGAAGCCCGACCGACTATCAACATTGTAAAAGATTATCTGGAGCCAGAATGGGATGTCCTAAGGATTGCTCTGAAGCCCGACCGGCTATCAACATTGAAAAAGATTATCTGAAGCCAGAATGTGCCAAGTCCTAAAAAATGATCTGAAGCCTGAACGGCTGAGTCCCAGAGAGAAGGGGGTTTTTCCTTGATAAATTATCAGAACCCTCCAATGCTCGAACGGCGATCAACGGCATTAGGAGTATTTAAGTAAGAAATAAAGTCAGGAAATTGGTTAAGTCCTACAAAACGGGCCGAATCCCGAATGGTGAGTAAAACATTCAAAAAGCGCAAAAAAGACAGAGGTGTTTTGTGCAAAACAAAAGATCTGCATTCATCGGTTCTACTGACCGGGAAGTACAAGCTACTTAAAGAAAAGAGAATTACAACGATTAATTTAAAAGTAAACATATAAACTATTGGCCAGGGGCCATTTCCTCTCCCTCTTCATCCTCGTCTTCATCATCATCAGACGGGGGTTCAGGCTCTTTCCCAGCAGCCCGATCAGCTTCCCGTTGCTGATCTCGCTGAAATTTCTCAAATTGGGCTTGTATGATGTCATCCTGGGGAAGATCAGAAGCCTGAACCGGCCTCCCCAGATTGTTTTGAAGTTGAGCGACGAAGGGACGCAGCAGGACCTGGCCGATTTTGGCATAAAGATCTGTCACGATGGAGTCATTCCATTTCTTGGCCTCAGGGTCCTTGTCCAAGAGAGCCACCCCTGCCGAGAGCCGACCGGCACCTTTAGGAAAACCCTTCAGGTATGCTCCAAAGGCAAACGGGATTTGCGTCCTTGCATGATCATCCTTGATGATGGAGAATTCATTAGAGGATTTAAATGTTTCCCGGACGGCGGACAGATCCACATTCACTTCATAGGGGCCATCCGGGATGCTGGAAGGCATCTCCTCGAACTTGATCTGAGCAGCCTCGGCAGCAATGACCTTTGCCTGGGAAGCTGCAAGTTGGACTCGAAGGGTACCGAGCTCAGCATCCAGACTCTGTTTCTCCCCCGCAAAAGCCTTCCGTTCGGCTTCCAGGGAGGTGATGGCGGCAGCAGCGGTTTGCTCAGCAGAAGATTGAGCAACAATTAGTTCTCGTTCCTTGGCCAGACGGGCTTCCCGCATTTGCAGGGTGTACAAACCCATCTACAAAGCATCGTTCGAGAGTTAGTACTGATTACAGAGAATAAAATAGAAACAGAGCACAAAAGATAATATACCTTCAGTGCAGTCAAGGCCAGGCATTCTTCAGATTGCTCGACCGGCAACTGGGGAAGGGAGAAATTATTGAACCAGGAGGATGTCGACCAGATCTGGCTCGCGGTAGAACCAACCCTTTCTAACACCTCGTGAACTGGATCCGATAAGGAGATCCGCTCGACCTGACCAGTGATATGGTCGGTATGAGTCCCATCTACATTCGAGGGTTCCCCCTGAACGGAGTCGAAGTGTTGGGAGAACTGATGCAGTTGATCAGATCCAAACCGATCGTCGACCAGCATGGCATCAAATTGGTCCTGATGGACCTGCTGTATCGGCTGTGGCTCTGGAAGCGGTTGAAAAGACCCAGCATCCTGGGCAGGAACAATAGAGGGAGTAGGTTGGAGATTCTTCCTGGCCTTTTTCCGTTTACCGACCCCGCCGGCTGCAATAACTCTGCTATCGTCCATGGGTAGATCTGGGTTTGGTGCTGAAAAAAGACAAAGGACAATGTTAGTATCGAGCGGCCTTAGCGTGTGAGAAACTAGAAAAAAGAACAAAAGAACGTTTCTCGCACGGGAAGGACCGCCCGGACCATGGCACTTGGTTTCTCAAAACAAGTAAACCCAAGAGAACGGGCAGTACCTATCTCGGCTTTAACAAGTCGATCGGGAGTCAGATAACTCATGATGTCCATGCATTTATCCTTCTCCACAGCAAGCACGTCCTTGTAAATTTCTTCAGTGAGGACTGGATCAGGAGTCTTGCGGGGAAAGGCATTCCATTTGCGGGGAATTAGGCCGTCCGGGACAGACATGAAGAAAAACCGGTCTTTCCACCCTTTGATTGAAGTTGGGTTTCCCTTGAACAGGATGTGTCCCGTTCGGGCACTAGTGGCCAGATAGCCGTGGGTTTGTTGGGGGGCAACCTTGAAAAATTGATGGAAGAGTTCTAGGGTTGGTCGGGCACCGGCATCTTTACAACGACAAATAAAACCCGCCATTGCCCGATAGGAGTTCGGCATAATTTGGGCCGGTACAACTTCGTAGAAATTAAAACATGAAATGAAAAAGGGGTGTAGCGGAAACCTAAGGCCGGCCCTAATCGAGTCAAAATGAACTATAGTCATTCCGAGCCTATGACGCATTGGGTGAAGCCCAGCTTGCAAACGGAAATCCACCGGGTCAGGGATAAGGGCCGGAATTTCGGCCCTATTATGGGAGGTCAGTTTTTGCCGCCTCTCCCTAATCAGTTTTAGGTCAAGGGTATGGCGAGGGAAATCGTTGGGACGTCCGGCCGCCATGGAGGCTAATTCGTCCTCGGATTTGGTATCGTCGGAATCTTCACTGGAGGAAGAAGTACTAGAAGAGTCGCCTGTCTCCGCCCTAACTTCCGCCGTTGTTGCCTTGGATCCTTCATCAAAAGGTACGGTGATAATCTCCACATCACGGTCCTCCCCTTGAGAAGCCATTTCCGAATCAGAACGTTGTTGGGAATTTATCTCGACCGAATCAGGGATGACGCGAGGAAGCAAGGGAGGGAGAATACCTGAACGACGAAGGCTGCGAGAAATCTCAGAAATCAACAAGGTGCAGAGAATTGCATAATCGAAACCCGGATTTGAGAAGATAAAGGCTAATTTATAGCCTTGGAACCGCCGTGTCAAGAACCAATTAGGGAGCAACACGTCACTAGGAGCTTTTAAGCTAAACGTGTGTCCAATGAAAAGACTAAACGACGGTTACCATGATGAATATGGGGAAATGAAACGGCAGCCGTCAAATCACAGCATGGGGAACTGATTACTTCTGTACCCCGATCGCCATTCGGCGGATTGCAACATTGGCATTCATACTTCCTAATGCACTCACTGTTGTTCGAGACATCGGAAGTGGGGGACTTGTGTTGGGATATTGATCTAGAGGCCCAATACCCGGATCAAGAAGGCCCAAGATACCCGTCCCAAGCAACGGGCCCATCACTCTATGAGGAGATAATCAAGGTAGAATTGATCCCGAACGAGATTCGGCCCAAATAAAGGTTGGCCCAGAAAGAAAACATACCGAACGGAGTTCGGGCTATATATCATACTTGGGCCAATTTGCCAGCATATTCAGCATAGCCCAACATCCCGTTCGGGCAACAGCCAACCAGCAAGTGGCCAGGTGCAATTAATGCCAGATTGTGACATCAGCAAGTGGAAACATGGGTGACCAAGTCGGTGGAACAATGGCCAATCAACATAGGGCAGCCCATGCTCTCCATTAGTATAAATAGAAGGTTTCAAGTCATTGTAAGGGTTAGCATTTCAATACTCAGGCTCTAGAATAGCATCATTGCCCTTATTTCTTGTATTAAAGCATTGTTTCCGACCTATCGATCGGGAAATTCCTTGTAATCAGACTGGTTATTTAATACAAGTGAGCTTTCGAGTATTAGTGAGTTCATATTTTATATTTTGTTTATACACTTTGATTCTGTGTCATTCCTGATATATCCAAAGTTCGTGTTGGGCTTTCGGATCTACGGGATTTACACTCAACAACATGTTTATAGAGTTGTGCGAACAAAGTTAATTCTTTAACTTGGTTAAAAGTAAACATTTTTGCTCCCTTACCTTTTACATGTAAAATGTCTTAACCCCCATCTCAACAAAAGCGCACTAAATATATCATATCCAACTTTTTAATAGGTACACTTTTTAAACTTTATTAAAAAGTGATTACTATTGAACTCTAATTGCTTTGATACCATACTTTAAAAGCTCAAAAGCATTATTCAAGGACAGAACTCATATGTTCAGTGGAATGCAAAAACTGGGTGGTAGAATATACAGCACTCTATGATTCTGATCAGAAGAACCTCTTAAATTGGAGCCCACATATATAACAATGATGCAACACAAATTACATACAACAAAAGAAAAAGCTGACCGGTTTGGATTAATTGAAAAATGTAATCAATTATTATTTCTTCTCAAAAAGGCCAATACGCCTAAAGCAGCGACTAATGCAGCACCAGTGGCCGCAGCACTGTAGGCTGCAGCCCATGCATCAGTCTGGTGAGCGAAGTCCATACTGCTTGATCCAGAACCCACCAGCCCACGATGTGGCACTCTTGAGTAATCTAGGTGCAATCTCAGTCCCTGTACGTCAAGTTTATTATTATGTTGTTATTATTGTTATTAGCATATGATGAAAAGGTGACTATTTATTTGCACAAAATCACTGGAAAAGTATGAAATATTCAACCAATATACAAAATTATGGGTTACTCTTCTTTTCAATTTGACCTTTTACCATAGAATAGAACTTCAGGTCCTAATATCATGATAGTTGCAATTCAACAATGTAAAAGAAACGTCATGTATACATTACCTTCCAACCAGCAGACCTTGCATGCTCAACAGCCGTGATGAGGTCACTATCAGATGCAAGTACAACCTTGTCCTGGTCTTCATCCTCATACTATAGGGGAAAAATATTATCCATGAGAAAATGTCCCAAATTTTAGCGTACTATATTAGTTCCCCAAGGCCCCGCCTTGGTCTGATCTAGTTATCTTTTTTAACTATATTACTGTGTGTTGGAAGTTAGTTGAAACAAACATTGAAAGATAAATCTATATGATATGTTACAAAATTACTCCTTAAAATTTAGGTATGAAATCTTGCAGATTTTGTTGGTTATAATGGTGGAGAACAAGGAAAATGATAAAAGACACAGATTGTTTTCCTAGCTTGTCAATGCCAATTGCCAAGCCACGGTTTGTTCACGATTCCCGAGATGCACAATATAACCAAGATTAATGGCATGGCTATTTATATTAGGTCGGAACCCGAATTCAGATTTTATGCAGAACGACTAAACAACTCTCCGAAGATTACAGTCTGATTACAGTCTAAATAGGAGGTAACAGTCCCCAGAACCCAATGCGAGTTACGGATTTCTAGTCTGGCCCATCTCATATAAAGGCTATGTTTGGTATGACGTGCAATGGAATGAAATGGAGTGCGTAAAGCAATACAAAATGTAATGTAATGGAATGAAATCTCTATTCCATTAGTATGTTTGGTTAAACTTTGAAATGTAATGGTGTAGAAGAGACAGACATGTATGGAAGTCGTTCGGTGATGTGGGCACTACCATTGGTGTTATTGTCTATTTTCACAGCTAAAGGCCAGGTGAGGCCATATGGTTGAATCTCCCATCATGGTCGGTAGTTCATTTTCAGGACATCTAATAAGATGTAATCTCAAATACGCACTTCTATTAATGTAAATCTCATTACACGTGTAAAAGTAATGAGTTCCACATATGTAATGACAATTACATTACGGTTTAAAATAAAATGGCATACCAAACATCATATTCGAATCAACACGTAATGCTCATTACATTACATGGTTGATTACATCATACCAAACATAACCAAAGTTTTGTACTTTACATATGGGTGCACACATGGACTTTCTCATTGACGGGAAGAAAGTTTTGAGGTCTTGGTCTTACCAGAATTTGAGGAAGATTATTCCAGTTAATGTCACTCCCCAATCTTTGAAGTATTGCAGTCATGAGGTCTGTCATGCTTCGGGTATCTGAACTCCATAAATCGTTAAGGATCAGAGCCATATGGTACACGATAAATCATATTTAATATAAAAGCTATTGCTACACCAAACTCTTTTGGGACTAAGGCTTGGATGTTGTTGTTAAACGTACATATTTGTCCCCTTTGTGACCAATTAATTGTTGCATAGTTTTTTTTATGTTGGTTCTTCACAAAAAGGTTTTTTCCTATAATATCACTATAACAAAACTTATAGTAAAGAATATGACTATGCGGTTACTGCAAAACTAAAAATACAGTCGCGTCGTAAAGTTGAACATTTACTAAAAGTCATATTTTCGGTCATATTTTCGGTGCAACACTTTGGTCTGCTGCAAAAACAACACCATAGCACTGGCTATATAAAAGTCATATTTTTGTGACATATTTGTCATTTTGTCATTATATCTTTAAACTTAAATAATGACTCATATATAACTAAAATAAGGATAGTGGACAAAATGTGATTTTTTACAGTGACCATAATAGTAACTTTTAGTGACTATGATTATGTTCAATTTTAAAAACTTATAACTTTAGTCACATTTTTGTCCATAAGTTTTATTTCAGTAATAATTTAGGAAAAAACTCTTAAAAATAACACCATGTTATGTTATAAGAACTTTTAAACTACTTAGACATACCACTGGTGAACCTATGCATCCTCCCCTTTCTATCTTGAATCTTAAAAGCAAAAGTATTTGGCAGTGTTGACGAAGGAAATGGAAGAGATATTCCAGTCTCTTGCCCTTCTGAGGCCAACTTCAAGGAACCTTCACTGTTTTTTCACAGCAATAAGTAAATGTTAAATAAAGACAGGAAATTAGTTTGAATCA